AAAAAAAAAGTAACCAAGGTCTAAGTTAGGATGGAACCGAACATTTTATACTCTTGTAACTTGCAAGAATCAAAGCCCGGGAAATTACTTCAGGTGCTTGCAAAACTTTATATTAAAAAGTTTTGCGAAAGAATTAAACATCCATTATTCGATGAAATCGTTAGTATATTACAATCAAATTTGGTATCTTCTTGATTTATATTGAATGTCATTATCTTATACTCAGTTTTATTGCTATATTTTAGTTCGTGTCAGCTAAAATTATATTAAAAACACCTTCAAATGAGATATACATACATATGTAGTGATATTAACTCGATCGAATAGACTAAATATAATATATTGAGTTTATGAGGAGTGAATCCAGATTTACTAGATTAAGGATTTGTGGTTTAGAGCAAGGTGTAGACCAATTCCATTCTAATTCAGCGTTGAACCACATAATTTTTAACAAAACTTTGTCCATTTAATTTTATTAAAATATCACATATTTTGACCAATCTAAACGGTTAAAAGACAGGTGGAAAAAGCGGAAATCAATTTATGGGGTATATTGAGGATAAAGAAAGGGCTGATTGCATTAATTTTGACATTACTCAGGTATACTTGAGAACTTTTGATGCAATTTTATGTATAAATAATACTCACTGACCGAAATATTCGCCATAAAAATAAAATAACGAAAATTATTATAGGTGGTGGTGGAAGTTGGGAGTATTATTTTATCTATTTTTACGAACTTCATTTACATGCCACATACTAATATAATGCTCCATGGGTTTCATTACGGTACCTCACATACTATCACCAATCACATGGAGTAAAGTCAAACGGATATTCGAAAATCCTGATATTACTTATATTGTGCTTGGTCAAGTTTTTCTGTTTACTGTTATGCAAAACACGCTCCCTCATTTTCATTGAGATAACGCATTTATTGGCTGATACTTGTATATGCGGTATAAAGTCCTCCGAAAGTTCGAAAATCTTTATATTGGGTATATTGGGGCTAAAGGAAGTATTGACCCGATTCAACCCATTTTTCATACAGACATAATACTATTAGGTAAGGACTCTCTGAATTTCAATTATATATCTCACACATTGACCGATATTTTTGGTACAAAGTCAACAAGAGGCACTGGGGTCCATATACTCAGTACCTAGGGGCTTGAATAGTTTTAGTTGTATGAAGTTTTATAACGGTATCCCAGCTTTTACTCAAGATACAGCTTGCATTGACAGACAGACGGACGGACATATGTACATAAAGTCACCCGGATTTCAACTCGTCTCGTCATCCTGATTATTTGTGTATATATAACTCTGGTTTTGGGTATCACGGGTATTTGAAATGTAAATTAAAAAATTAATTTATATTATTCAGGGGTGCTGTGGAATTCAAGACAGATTTGCGTAGTTGTCAGAATTGCAAACCAATTCTGATTTTGAATGGTGTCACAGAATCTGATTGGATTTGCGTCTTTTCGAACATATGCAAAACCAATATTCGAATCACCTGTCTACTAATGTGACAAAATTTGAAATGCTGAAAAGTCTACTAAAGTTTACAATAAGTTCCGCTATTTTAGCTTTTATTTTATTTGAAGAAAAAAAAGCAACGAAAAATATAAATGGAATATATTAAAAGAACACAGTAATCCACTTGATGCACCAGGGGAGTCGCATGTGAAATTTGGCTTGCATTTACTGATATGTAACATGCTTACTTTACAGATTTATATCACATTATGGACTGAATAAAGACGCATTTGGATGTTAAATTACGTTTGTTACGTTTTGTAAATTCTCTTAAAATATCTTGATTTTTCCTTAAACTCAATAATTATGACATTTTTTGTTTTATACTTATGTTTTCCCCTATAGAAATAACGATAAATTAAATCGTAACAATAATATAAATTATTTTCTTCACTTACATTTCAAATCTGTCAGCAAAAATCCTATTGCTTTGTTTCTGATAACAAAACCGATAAAATTGGTTTCCGTGACACCCAAAACCGATACCATTTCTGTTTCGAACGTCAAACCAATAATCAAAACCTATTACATTTTTTTATCTGTTTCAATTCTGATTCCGACAACTATCAGATTCTACAACACCCCTGATTGTTACGATTTAATTTACCCTAGTTGAAAACAAAAATTGAAACATGAAAGTGAAATGCCGACAGCAAAACGCAATTCTGTACTTTTGTGCCTCCATAATACTGTCAAGTACATGAATTATTTAAAAAAATATATCAAAATATTTTGAAGTTATTAGAAATAGCACATAATAAATTAAGAATGAATTAACATAAAATAATTTAAAAAATAATAAATAAGAGTTTAATAGAATCGAATATATTTCACATATCATATCCAAAAATTTTTTGTCTTCCATATTCCCTGGTTGGGAAGAAACTGCTGATGTTCACCAATATACCTAAATTTGTTGTCAGTACTGACGGCCAATTTAACTGGAAATCAATTTAACTGGAAATTGACCGTCACTGGTATTGCTAAAAACACTTACGATGCTTACGATTTATATTACTTACTACAGCTTTACATACATATGTAAGAATGAAATAGCTGCATTCTTTAGTACTGTCACCACTGACAGTGAAATGAACGTTAAAATGACTGTCAATGTTTACGATTTTTCCAAAAGCAAATTTTGTATACGTCGAAAAGAGACAGCATATATTTCCAAAAAAGTCCTGAGAAGTTGACGAATACCTATGTAGCTGTTATTCCGTACGATAAACCAAAAGTGTTGTATGCTATTGTGCAATAACTCTTTTTGTGTTAAAAAAAAAATAAATAATTAACGAAAAAATTTTCAAATATAATATATGAGTTATTATTAATATTATATATTAGTTATTATTATAATATATTTGTTATTATTAAGTTTCAAATAAAATTATATATTTAGTTAATTTTCATTTTTATTTAGGCATTTTTAAATTCGGAAATAAGCATCAACTGGAGAAACACGTGCAGCAAAGCTTTTGAGAGGAGCAAGCATGGAATTAAGTGAAAATTTCTTTTCATAATTTATTATTTAATTATATTTTTGTTACACTCTTTTTTATATTTATGTATGTTATTATAACTAATTTTAATTAAAAGTTTTGAATTTATTAAAGAAATAAAATTATATTATCCGCTGCGTAAAAGAATTTTTCACTTATGATAGATTTACAGTCATAACTGACAAATTGCAGCTATGATAGAGTTTCAGTCATCACTGAAAACTTTTAGCTATGATGGATTTATGGTCAGCAATGACTCAGAAAAAGACATGAGAGTGAGCAGTATAGATATATAGTAAATCAATTCCAAATACCCATGTCTTAAAGAGAGATGCAAAATCACACACATGCGTTTGTTTACATCAGTTTTTGCATTATGCTCTTAGGAAAATGATAGCAACTTTGTTCTGCGCGCTGACAAAATTTTTTCAGCTGTAACTGTCATATTATCGGTCAGATTACTGTCACTGTTCCTGTAGGGTACATATTTATATTTTTAACTTATAAGGTAGAAGATTTATCGAGAAATCCGTTACAATATAAAAAAGTGTAATTCCTGTATTGAATGGAATAAATAATAACATTAATGAATACATAATTACAAATAAATGTCTTATTTTATAATTTACGTGTTTTGTTTCCCGTTACATGTTTCCTTTAAATTCATTTATTCGTGAATACATATCTGTATTCATATTTATAAGTTGTAAAAAATTTTACATAGCCCTGAGTAAAATTCTCAAATGCGGATTTAATAAGAAAAATGTCAAAATGTCACTTTCATTTGTCAGAATTTTAATTTTTCCACCGTTTGGCACACAGCCTAAGTTGTTATTTAGTATCATAACCGGAGTTTCCGAACGCATTAGAATGTGACAGACAAAATCAGCCAACTTCGCTTTATTAGACAACTAACGAGTTATGGAAAAAAGCACTATTTTTATCCCTTTTTCTCTGCCAGCTAGTGTCGACTAGCATGATTGGAAGTGCAGGAAATTTATAAATTTGTGGTATAACTGCATTAAATAAATAAGTTTACATAAACTCGTGCAAATTGCAATCAATCCAAATAGCAAGTGCGTAATTTAAATAAAAACTCAACGCGGATATCTCAATAAAATGGTATTATCTGAAACTGAGGTGAGTTGGTGACGTCTTGACACATGCGACTTCGGCAATACACAACGGATAAGTAAAACCATCGTTATTTGACTAAGCAAAATAATATGCAAATAAAGCATTAGTAAATTGGCTGAAATGGAAGAAGCAAATTCTGAGAACATACGCATATTTTCCATCCGTACCAATTTGTTTTTTGAATGGCGTACGCCTATTGGCTTTTGAATAAAACACTGGTATTTATATGTTATATGGACATATGGAAATTTTTAAGATCTTAAGGTTTCGAAAATGTTTTACCGTACTGCCTATACCAATGAATTTCAATATGGACTCTATTTGATATGTAATGAATTAGGAAACAATAACCAATATAAACATCGCAATACAATATAATGATTCATGCAAAATCCAGTTAACTTTTCCTCAACTAGTGCCTAATAGACTAGGGAAGTATTGTGTAAATTCTGCATTCTTTCGGACGTAAATGAAGATATATTAGTATTAACTATTATATTTTAATATTTGGTTATGTGGCTAATAAACACACACAGTATTACTGCTGGGCAGCTTCTGTGCATAGAATTCACTAAATTCTGGTGCTTAGCAGCTGAAATTTTTATCCCTTACGTCCTTCACTAGCTTCTAAAGATCCTTTTTTTTTATGGATACTGGCCTCTTGGAGCATCGGTAACCTCTTGACATAAGTTTTCTAACGGATTAAGGTTTGGCCATTGCGAGGTCAGCTAAAAACTTCAATACCATTTTGCCTGAACCATGTCATTAAACGCTTCTTTGTGTGGGGGGTCTTTAACCCTTTCTTGTTGAAACACGGATCAAAGGGCCATATTAAAATCCGCTCAACGTAACACGGTTGCTCTTAAAATTCTAGGTTATTATAAGGCATCCATTGTGCCCTCGAACATAAATTGGAGATCTGTTGCCATAATAGGAGAAATACCCCTAACCCTTTAATCTTCCCCCGCTTGATTTATTCGTTTTTATAGAATGTTGTGGGACGAAATCGGTACGGGACGGTCTTCGCACACAAGATCAGAGTTGAATAAATTAAATTTGGTTTTATCTTATAAAGGAACTTAGAGCTGGGCAATCCGCAGGATCTTCCTCAAACTTTAACTGGTTTCTGGCATTGCCTTTGGTCAGAAACGTTAACTTCCGAGCAACTTCTGTTCAGGATCAGTTGATTTTTTATTAAGAATTTTGGAACGGCTAAAGCATCCACGTCCAAGGAATACTGCTTCTTAGAAGTAGAACAGGTCAAAGACGGATCTTTTTTCACCTGGCGCAGGATTCGCTTTTACAAATTTGATTATGCACTGATTTTTTGTTCTTTTTTACCCCGATTTTCTGCTTTCGTTGCAGCCAACTATTCAAGCCCTTTGGTTTTTGCCTTGTAAACTCAAAATTTTTATAAACTGTCGGAATTCAGGATTGCAGTACTTGGCTCTTCTCGTTATTATAACTAATTTATATGAAAATATCAAAATTTATATCAAATTAAAAACCATTTCTCACTTTTGGTGGATAATTTCATTAAATATAAGTTCGGTTCTCAGAATATTTAATTTTATTGTTTCGCTCTATTGTAACGCACATCTCGTTTAACAGTCAATGGTACAATTTCACTGATTTGCAAAAAACGAACGTGCGATTGAATTCAAAAATAAGTGCATAATATTCATAGGTAATTGTTTATTGAATTACAGTTACTTCAGCGAATATTGGGTTCACAAAATAGTTTTAAATAAAGTAACATCGTCGGCGATGGTGTGACTTTATTTTTATCGCAAATCACTGTATATGTACTTATGTATGTACAAAGTTTTAAACTTCTTCTATCAGATAAAACCAAGTTATGATCGAAATTCAAAATAACGTATCAATTGCATGGTTTCTTAAATTAGTTGCTCCTTTTCCTTTAAACTTATATTTTAGGTGACTATACATTTTTCATATTGATGTGTAAACAATTTTGTTTATCGCTGCTTTGATATTTTGTGCACATTACAACAAATAATTTATTTTATTTCCATTTAACACTTTAATATTGTACAATAATGTATGTATGTTTGTTACCTCTACCAAATGTTCCTATATGTATGTATGTAGAAAATGTTATACTAAAATTTAATAAATGTACCACTGTTATATTAAATTCCATATATTAGTATACGCTCTAAAGCTTTCTTTTTCTCCCATTACTTTCTTTCTCATTTTTATGTGTGTGTGATTCATAGTGGACATTGCATTTACAGTGACTCACAAAATCATCACGGTATCAACACGTATAGAATTTATGATGAAAAAACTCGAATCAAACACAAATAATATTTCATCAAGCAACAAAAAATAAATAAAAGCAATATATAAAATATTTCATTGTGTTCACGTTTTTAACTTAATATAAACAGTGTTAAATATTATTATTAATACTTCGTATAAACAGCTTTAGCATTTATAACGGGATTGATTCTTATCTGGTGCTCGATGGCTTTGATGTCCGGAGATTCCGGAGCTCCATCTAGCATACTATTATTATTTTATTGGAGCTATTTGGGAGTTGCCTTTGCTGTGTGTTTCGGAGTATTGTCATGTTGGAAGACAATTTTCAACGTATTTTCACCTAAGTTTCCTACAGTGCCAAGCAAATTATTGCACAGATCAATGTAAGATTCTGGCGTCATTCGTCCTTCGATTTTAGCCAGCCTACCAACCCCATTCATTGGTTTTTGTGCATCCCCACATTATAATGGAGCCTCCTCCAAACTTCAACATAGGCTTAACGTGGTGGTCCAATAATTTCCCAACTTGCTTCTTCAGGTCCATTCCGCTCATCCGATCCCAAACGATTTATTTTTGTCTCGTCCAACCACCCGACATTCACCCAGTCACCTAAATTCCAGATCTTGTACTTTTTGGCAAAATTTAGCCAGAACTTCCTGTATCTCTCAGTGAGTAGAGTTTTTTTTTTACTTTTGCACGGCCTTTTTGATCAGAATTTCGTAATATGCTGCGAACGGACGGACAGACAGTCACCTGGATTTCAACTCGTCTTCATCCTGATCATTTATATATATATAACCCTATATCTAACTCGATTAGTTTTTGTATCAACAACCGTTAGGTGAACAAAACTATTATACTCTGTAGCAACAAGTTGTGAGAGTATAAAAATTAAAATTATTCTATTTTATGAATTCACCAATGCACACGCAAACTTTTTTTGTTTAAATTTTAATATACCGCCAATTATGGTGACGACATCAAACATATTGGTAACGGTATCTCAAACAGCAACTAAAATAAATATTTAGTCGGATTTGTGTTTGACTGCATATGCAAGATGGAATGAAAAATGAAATAGCTGTTCAACTGAAGCGTGATTAATTTTGTGAGTCACTGTATGTACTCCACTATATGCATATATACATTTACATGTACTAGTGTACCAAATATATATTTATAATTTTTTCTGCCCATCACAAATATATAGATATGTGTGCTTTTGGGAACGAATTATTCCGTTTAATCATTCGTATCCCAAATGTAAGGAAGTGACTTTAAAGATATTTAAAAAGAGCAATATAAATATACATTATTCCAGAAAATAAAAGCATGTTTCACAATGTTAAATATGCAAATATAATATATTGCGGTGTCTAATCTATATCTTATAATAATAACTGAGGTATTTTCTAGGTGTGCAAGCAATATAAACAGTTAATCTGCTGGGCACTTAATTATACTCTTTTATATAGCGGCACTGCCTGGCTAGAAATACATATGCAATCATTTTCTTGCTTTCCAATCTTTTGCTAATACTTATGTACAGTGTTCTTGTTCGAGAAATTGTAAATAAATTATAAATTTTTTATATAATGTGTTTTGTATAACTTTTCATCATAATTTATAAGAAATATCCGGATATTATATAGTCGCCAATTTCATATCCCAGTATCAGAAATTTATAAAGAGAAACATATGAATATAAACAAAATGTAAACAATTCGAATTTAAATATAATGCTCAGAACAAAATGACGATGACACGACTCGACTGCACGATAGCGAAATTTTCTGGTCGGCAAATGTCGTCTTGAAGCCAGCTTCTTGAACATTTTGAAGACGGCAGCGACATATCAAACAGCCGATGTTGCCGTTCTAAAACCTTTCACTTCAATCAAATTTAAATGTTTTTTTCAAAAGGAAATTTTTTTGTCCAAAAAAATAAGTAAATAGTTCGATTCATTGTTTTAAATGATCAATTGTTTTTACAAATAATAATATATCAGTTCTAATTTATGCTTCTGTTGGTAAAACAACATTAGATTTGTTAGAAATTTTAACAATTTTATATTTCACATACTAGTGGCAACACTACAGCTGCCCGTTGTCGTCAGCAAAATTATAAATGGTTTTAATTTAGCAACAGCGACAACTTCAAGCCTGCTGCCGTAAAGTCGTGCTGCTGTCTAAATAAATGTTCCCATAAGAATGTGTATTTTGGTTTTGACAGATGCTGCCTGTAGCTTATCGTCCACTATGTGTTCAACATGTAAGTCGTAACCTTAAACAGTTAAGAAAACAAATTATAAATTGCATCAAAACGTACAATAATTTACCGATTCTTCTTAAAATCGAATATTATCACGCTATCTACATAGTGGTTTTTCCGTTTATGGACATTGGAATGTGTGTATAGTCATTCAACCCCATGAAAAATCCCCCACTCACCATAAATTACTTCTTGAATTCACATATTTAGTGGTACTGAAGTGCATAGAGATTCTGCAATATCTGAAGCTGAAAAAGTCAGAAGGCTGATGGAAATGTTTGCAAATTTTGGGATCAAAGACAATAACAATTGAATTCGAAACATATTAACCATCGTTAACAGGCTTTTTTTAGAGAAGCAAATAAAAAATTTACGTATACAAGTTTAAAAAAAATTCACTGTATTTGGTTTTCGGCTATCATATGGAACAAACCGATAGCGTTGCAAAAACGCAAACAACAACAAAGTGCAATTGCCTTGTGATCACAAGAGTTATTTATCTTTTGTGGTACTCTTCTACCTGCCTATATTATTGTAAGCCTGTTTACCAGTATGCTCGTTGTATTTTTACTCTCTCTCTCTCTTTGGTTTCACGATTCTTTCCTCCCCGGTTTCTTTTGTGTTAACATCGGGTTGGATTCAGCTCTTTATATGCAGTAATATACGAGTGTAGATGTATATAGCTAGCGGTTTGCTGCCAGTTCAATTCCCTCGCAGTTTAGTTGCTGTCGCGCCGGCCCGTTTAATCACTGTGTACAACGCTCACTGCGCATACAGTACTCGATGTTCACTGTTCGTTGTCGCTGGAACAGAAACACTTTTTGAAAATCATCTAGTTTGCCTTGCGTTCATGTGTTCAAATGTGAAAAATTATTAAAAAGTTTATTAGAATTTTAATTAAAAATTTCGTTTCACTTCAGTTTGTTTCGTTCACAAAAATTTTCTCTCAAAACAAAAAATAGCCAAAAATATAAAACTCGATTTGGAAATTGAAAAAACCCCGATTAAATAAAATTCGTGAAAGCAAAAACCGAATTCAAACCCGAATTGCCATTGCAAAGCAAAACAGGAAAACAAAAACAACGTACAGCGACACTTTTATACGTTTCCAAAAGAAGTGAACGCTGTTTTTGCAATTCAACACAGCCACGAGGCCATTGGAGTCGCCAAGGAGCTAAAACAGAAATAATAGCAACGCCCGTGACAACAAATACAACACACATCATACGGTATCATTACTGCTGATTTTATAGTCGCCAACCATTCAAATATCAGCGAATATTTTGAGTAATAAATCGTGCATTACGCCAACACTAAGGAAAGCGCACTGTGTAACCATTTTCAACTCAAAAGAAGAACAGCAAGAGGGCACTATATCAGCTTCAGTTGCAAGCTTGAAAGTAGAATTGAGCGAGTGAGCAGTACTGTCAGTGGGGTGCGTCTTTCGTCGGATACGATCTATTCAAATCACTGCTGCTTTTACGACTGCAGACACTATTAGCAAAGCGATCTGTACACTTTCGCTTTTCGACATAGCCTATATATTGATAGCTGCTCCACCCCTCCGCAAAGTTAGCGCAGCGCTATAGATCAGAGTCTTTTTACTGTGCATTTCATTGTTTGATTCGTAGCATGATGTTTCAGAGCGACTTCCATAGAAAGAAAAATTTCGCTAATCCTAATTTGTTCAATGTAATAAAATGACTTTTTGTAATAATATTGAACATTCATGTATCTACATTAATTCCTTTGTGCTTTCAGAATTCCACAACTGCGGAAAAGACTGCACCTCCTCAGCAACCAACACCTGCAAGTGGTCGTCCTGATGCCAAAGAGGAAAACAAGGAACAGGAAGAAGTGCGTACAGAGCATCTTTTCAAGCACCCATTGCAGAATACCTGGACTCTATGGTACTTGGAGAACGACCGCTCCAAATCATGGGAAGACATGCAAAACGAAATAACCAGCTTTGACACAGTTGAAGACTTCTGGAGGTTAGTAAGCGAAAAAAATAATGAATAACTATACATCTAGTTGCCGCTGACTTATGGTTTTTGAGGTATTTGCACTTAAAGTACAAAAATTCAACTAAAGTTCTTTAATTTATAATGAATTTTACACTTATATTTTTAACTTGTATTTATATTCACTAACACTTTACTAATTCGTTTCTACACATTTATTTTATATTAAATGGTGCAAAAATAACTTTAATTCAGTATTTAACTTTTGTTATTTTTTGTTTTCATTCACACAATAACAAAAGGGTTGCATTTCAACAAATAAGCAGTGTTACCTTATCTTCATATTTTAGAAAGGAACCAAAAGGAATAAAAAAACAATACCCCAATGGCAAGAAATAACTAACACATTATTAGTTATTTGCGTAGAATTTCTTACTGCGTTGGCGTCCTTCGACTGCGCTTAAAAAAAATATCCTGGTCGGTCCAACACCGGGGTGTCCTCAGTTTTTTGCGTAGAACTGTTTTTTGCGTATGAATAAATGGATTTAAACCAAAGTTAAATATTGAATTAAAGTTATTTTTCCACTATTGAATACAAAACAGATGTGTAGAAACAAATTATTGAAGTGTTGGTGGATATAAAAGTTAAAAATGTAAGTGTAAAATTTATTATAAATCAAAGAAACACGCAATTAAGAACCATTATTCAGCGGCGACTAATGTGTATCTTTTCTTAATCTGGAGAACTTCCTCTATCCGAAGATAGACAGCTGATTATTTATATTGTGTTAAAATATTCTATATAGTGTTACAAACTTCGTGTCAAATGTATACAAAAATATATATCTATTTACAGTCTCTACAATCACATCAAGCCCCCATCTGATATCAAATTGGGAAGTGATTACTCGCTATTCAAGAAAGGAATCAGGTATAATGCGTATTCAGAATCTTTTAATATGTCTATATGCTTAATATTGCGGCATTTTTCAGGCCAATGTGGGAAGATGCGGGCAATAAACAAGGCGGTCGTTGGGTTATTACGCTAAATAAGAGTTCTAAGTCAGATTTGGATAATTTGTGGCTTGATGTTGTAAGTAATTCATTATTACCATTTGTATTAACTTGTACTACACATGTATTTCACTTTATTGGCAGCTCCTTTGCTTAATTGGTGAAGCGTTTGATCATTCAGATGAGATTTGTGGTGCTGTGGTCAACATACGTGGAAAGAACAATAAAATTTGTAAGTTTTTTGATGTTTTAATTTGATGTTCATACGAGATTTAACGGGTTTTATATTTTGTATATAGCTATTTGGACAGCTAATGGCAATAATGAGGAAGCAGCACTAGAAATCGGAAATAAACTGAGAGAAGCCCTGCGTTTGGGTCGTCAAAATTTGCAATATCAGCTGCACAAGGACACAATGGTTAAACAGGGTTCGAGTGTAAAATCGATTTATACTCTCTAAAAAGTGTAGATTCGCGCTTGTGTAGATTTAGCTAACCACACCTCGATACATTTACATACACAAGCGCTGACAACATCGATTGATCGAGTTAAGAAATTTATATTGTACTAGGCCTACGTTTCTAAAAAGTGAATTCAGAGAACCGAAGAACTACCATAAAAAATTACACTACTAAAACCAACCCACACATTAATCGTTGCATATGAGCGCCGCTAACGCCTACTTACCGGATTTCATGACTATAGCAATTCGAATTTGTAGCCGTTCCGACGCCGTTAAGAAGATGCATTCAATTGTAACTGAATATGCAAGAAAGGAGTAAATGGAATTAAAGCCGACACATCATATAGCTAACATCAAAATAACACATATGCAACATAAATTATACAAGATATCTTTGTTAAATGAAGATACAAATTTGTTTGACTGTAGGAGAGATCAAAGCAGAAATAAATACGTGACTGCACATGACTGCTTGCTCCAGGCAAATTAGTGACGAAACAATGTAGACTACGTTAATAGAATTAGTTCGAATTTAAAAAATAAGAAGTGTTTAGATTGCAAAGCAGGTCTTTCAGGTAAATATGCATCAAACTTGAAACTTTAGAAAACGAAAACATCTGTCGTCATTATTTACTGGAAGTGGCCAGGTTCGCATACAATTGTAGTCGTTATCGAATCCTATGCGTGTTATAATGTAAACGATATGGAATTAAACTAATAAATTTGATAAAACATATCTCTTTCTGTTTCAATGCCCAAATCATCTTATGTGAAAAGTTTCACCCCCCAGCCTTTTCGCTCCAATCCTCCTGAGAGAAATATAAAGCAACACCTCGCAAAGTCTGATCCGTGTGTAAGACCGGAATGCGTTGCAACATTACATCCGTCAGATGCAATACTGTTGTTGCTTTGCTGTAGGAACACAACAACAAGCTCCAGTGGCGTTCCTACGTTAAAATCGCGAGCGATATAGTGGTGCTTCGGTCAAGCTCGAAATATTTAATATATATAGTGACATGTTGCCTAAAAGAATATCACTCAAACACCACCTTCGTGATGAAATCCGATTGGGGCAAGCGTACCGTAATTGGCCCGTATTTTATCTGGCCAAATGGTATTTCGGCAAACTATCCTGGTTTACATCGCTAAGTAAAAAAAAAAAATCAAAAAATGATACTTTAACGCGCTCACGATTTTTGTCTGTCAAATGATCGCAAAGGGATGGAGCTGGCGAAATAAATCGACAAAGACAATTTCAAATTCCTGCAGCCGTAATCGTTATCAAACGTCGATTTCGTAAGGTGGCCGCTTCTGCTATTGGTCGATTTATGCCCGTTGCGAGAATTCCTGAAATCAAACCTGATTTTCCAACCAAAACAACTGTTTTAGCAATAGCGTAACAGATCTCAATTTGGAAAACCGACAACTGATATTGTAGATTAGCATAAGCCTGAAGTCCTACAACCTTTCGGGCGGTGTGAGTAAGCTTTGGACTACTGGACTACACTACTCGGCGGTTGAGCAAAAAGCCAAGGCTAAATCCATCTTCCCAGACGGCACATAGGCTCGACGGGAGTAAGTACCTTACTAATGTTCTCAATTTGTAACTGACCACTTTTTCTACCCAATATATGGAAAAACGGAAGAGTGGACCCACTACTGATACCTGGAAAACTGGCCAATCTAGGGAAATCTTATAGCCCGATAACTTTCATATCCCCAGTAGTGAAGACACTGGAGGCCTACTCTCAGATAACTCGTAGCCTCAATTAAAAACCACTCCGTAAGAGGACACTCCTTATTGGGTTGGACTCGTCAAACGTTTTTGACAATCAATCACACAATGCTATTAGAAAATATGAATTATCACAACCGTCGTCAATCATCCGTATTAATTTAAGCTCGAAATTCTAAGATAAGAAGAATAAAACAAAGCGTTTCCCAGGGCTATGTCTTTTTCCCCCTACTGCTTATCTTCTATATCTCGAAATCACCAACCACCAGAGGAAATTTCCATTAACTCATATGTTGATAATTGCGCGTCGTTGACGTCGGACACTGGAATCGATTACATGTGTTTGAATGTGGATCTCTATCTTCACGACCATTCCCGCTTATTCACTGGTAGGAATCCTAAACTCTTCCTGCTATATCCACAGCAACCATATTTACAATTTAAACAAGGGAATATAGAGTAGATCTCAAAATTATTATGACTCTACAATTTCGATAGTCAATAATCCAAACATTTTGAATGTTTGTACTCCGTCACTCCGCATACCATTGCGATCATTACCAAGGTACAGAGCCACAACAAGCCTATATTAATAAGAATTTAATATACAAAGTGATTCCAGCTGGTAATCTGCAATAAGCGTTGGTTCAATTCCTAGAACAGGGTACAGGAAGAATTAGACCAGAATAATTCTAACAGTAAAACAATATTGTTGATTGCTATTTTTAGACAATTAAATAAAAAGGATAATTTATGATTGGAAATAAAAAATGATAACAAATCCTACCAATAAAAAGTTTTGTTTTAACTATCTCAACGAAACACAGAGAGGGGCTAGACTCGGATCAAGTAGTTAATTTTTTAAGATAACTTCATATAGAAAATCACAACAGAAGTAGTCTCCAATTGTACATTTCACAGATAAATCATCGAAATTACAACATAAATAAAATATTTGGTTTTTTCGAATTATATTTTTATAGTAATTTCAGTACTAACAATCAGTACGACAAGATGTCATCAATTTTGCGACGTAAATCTTTCCGGCGAGATCGTTCCAAAGCATCTTTTATCATCCGTAAATGTTTTTTCGGATCATTACAATCATCCTGTTCAAATATTTTCAAAACTTTGTATACACGCGTAGTTAGGTCGCGAGGATACTGCAACTCGATTTCATCCATCGTTCCTTCACGTAATCCCAATTCTCGGCCGAACATTCGCCAATGCGTACCTAAATATTGTGAGAGCATTTTATAAATAGCATTACGTTTATCCTCAGCTAAAACACATGGATAAATGTTGGAATTATTTAATCCAGGTGAGGGTGTAGTTAACGATGCCGTTTCCAACGGTGCCGAGCGCCGTATATTGTCGTAGCTAATATTGCTGTAGGGTGACGGTGGGCTTCTGCCATTAATTGTTAGTTTATTGGACAGTTCGTTGGCTACATTCATGTAGTGATATTGGTTGGTGCCTTCAGCGTCCTTTACATGGTTATGCACTGGAAAATATATTGAAAACCTTTCTCTTTCTTTGCAGAAAATTAACTTACTTTCTGTGGAGGAATATAACTTTCAATAGCATCGTCGAGCCGTTTAAGTCCTAAGATGCGAAGCGGCTCTACGTTTTGTTCATTAATAACATCGCGACGTTCAAGACAGTCAATTAGATCGGTCATGGTTCTTATGCATTCGTATCGACGCGGGGAATTAATGTCATTTAAAAACATGGATTTGAACTCGGCCACCAAATCCGGTGAAGACGGTTCTTGCCCCGCAATGTTTTTCAGTAAATCATAAGCCCAATGTTGTGGAACAATATCTGCCATTCTGTGTACTTTTACAACCACTACTCAATAATGTGTCAATCACATTCATTCGCTTTTAGTGTTATTTTTGACTACAACTTCTTGCCAGTCCAATTCAGTCAAAGTTAAAGGTAAGTTCTAACATTATTCGTAAAACAAAAAAATACTGTGATACCCTTCTCAACAAAGATTATAGCGATTATAGCCCTTATACCAAGATTGTAGCTACTTTTATAAGAGATAACAATAAGCAATCTAATTTTGTAATAAATTCAATATCGGCACCGTACTTAGTCGATATTTAAAGTGCTCTCGATATAATCCATTCGAATTTCGATAAACTCATGTTGCTAGTATATCCGTTTACTTACCCCCAGTTCACACACGAACTCTTTTGCCGCCCACGCCGGTAGTTTGTGGGCTCGATTTCAAATGAATGCGATATGCTAGGAAGTTTTAATATCGTTATCTGTTTTTTGGAATATGTATGTGGTGCCCTGTGCCGTGCGTTGCGTTCGCAATCCTAAGTAATTAGTTTATAAGTAATTTTAAAAATGCAACTCTTTCACATATGGTAACAAGAATTAATAAAGCTACTGCTATTCCATTTTCATCGTCAACACTCAACCGCCTCGGACGTGCCTTGTTTCTTCCATCCTTACATATATATAATACATAAATTAATTCTAATATAAATGGAGTTACTTTTACTTTTATATATAATATTTACATAAAATATTAAGATGCCTCCATTTTTATTTCTTTTAACCGCAAAGATTTAGTTTGAATATCATTTTATTTAAAACAAGAATTAAATTAAATTAAAAATAATATGGATTAAAAAAAGTATGGGTTTTTAATATTTCCCGAAGGATTAGGGAATTCCTGTCAAAAAATTACTATTAGTAGCGAGTATTCAATAGGAATATTCGGTCGAATATTATCCAATAACGGATGCTGGGTCTCAAGATGGGTGAATAGTACGCTAGTTGAGCGAAGCGCGCGAAACACAACGTGAACATAACGTTGTTCAGGCGTAAGTCTTTCGATTAGGGAACAAAATGTTTGATAGTTGGGAACACACTTGAAGTGTCACAACAGACGCAATGAGGAAGAGAGCGGCGATGAAATGTCACACAGTATAGAAATCAAAATTCAACAAATTTCTATGCTATGCCCTACGTTCGGTAATCAAATACATGCAAAACTTATAGCACATATTTTTATGTGACAGTTCTTATGTATGAGCAATGCTATGCTACATATGGTTTGTTTGTATATTGGTATGGTTACAGAAAATTGGTGTATCGGTTACCTCGTCACTTGCAGTTTTCTTCTTTAATTATTAAAAATTACTTTAGATTTATTTTTTAATTTTAGCATTTGCGTATGAACATTCATATGGTTTATACTTTATGGGTCTAAAATTTACGTTCAATTATTTTTCCCTGCGAAACAATATTTTGTGTTCTTTGAAGCAAAATATTGGACACGAATTTTTTTATTTCGATATTATGTGAAAAATTTTGGAGCTATTGTATAAATGTTCAGAACTTTCAACGCTCGAGAAATATACCTTTAAACATTTGTGTACACGATATTCTATTATAAAGATAACTAGCCGCCCAGCTTTCCAATGAGAAATACGTTGAATCTATTAGACCTATTTGTTATAAACAAAAAGTACATTTTTAACCTGCAAACTATTCTTGTACTCTTGTTCTTTTTATCATTCATACACTGGTATGATTTTGTACAAATTAATTGAATAAAGTAAGTCATTATTATATCCCCGGAACCAGAGATAAGGACAGAGATAAAGAGACGCCCCACTCATCTCTCACTGGAAATGTGAGCGCAATTGCTAAACGTCAAAACCTCCTGAACTCAGGCAACTGTCAAAGTTCAGGAGGTCTGACGTTGTCGCGCATGTCAGAAGACGAGAAAGTTCGAGAACACCTCAAGTCATTCTTTAATGCAGTAGAGAAAATGAAAGAAATAGGCATCGCAATTGACGATGAGCTACTAGCAATTTTGTTGTTGTACAGTCTGTCGGCGTCAAACGAGACATTTATGGTAGGTGCGCAGTTGAAACGCGAGACGAATTGCCAAAGCCGGACGTATTTCGTGTAAAAATTTTAGAAGAATATGAGTCGCGAAAATCGAAATAGGAAAACGTGAAAAACAATAATGGGTTTTACATAAAGCAAAGGCGTTTGCAGCCCCTGAAGAAAATATGAGATGGGGTTTGGACAGAGGGTGTACATCTCGTAGGAGTGCGAATACAAACAAGCATAGCAGCGAAATATAGCGAACTGCAGAACGTGGTAAGCATCACCACTACGAGCAAATCCTATGTGATTAGTAACGAAAGCACTGTACGGCTTGCGTCACCTCAAGAAGATGATAACATTATGTTTGTTATTGTATACGTAGATGATTTGCTGTCAGCATTTAACAACGGCAATTGGTTAACAAGTAAGGAAGGGCTAGGTTCGGATGTAACCGAACATTTTATACTCTCGCAAAGTCAAATAGTATACTCGTTTGAGATTTCTTTGTGGATTGACTGATATTCTCGGTAGAAGGTCCACTATAGGCACTGGGGTCCACATATTTAGTACTTAGGGGCTTGAACAGTTTTAGTTCGATTTAGACAATTTTTGACCACAAGGTGGCATACTTTAATCGCATTATTCACGCAAAGTTTTATCCCGATACAGTCATTGTTGCCTGATTTGCATAGTGGAAAGTGAAAGAATCAGATGAAATTGAAAATGGTGTTATATGGGAAATAGGCGTGGTTGTAGTCCGATTTCGCCCATTTTCGCACTATGACATAGAAATATGAAAAGAACGTCATGCACCGAATTTAATTGAAATCGGTTAAGCAGATCTCAAGATATGGGTTTTCACCTAAAAGTGGGCTGTGCCACGCCCACTGTCTAATTTTGAACGCGGTTCCTATAAAGTCATTTCATACCATCCCAGAGATAAAATTTAATGTCTCTGGCGTGTTAAGTGATTGATTAATCGCGCTTTTAATAGTTTTTAACAGTACCGTTATATGGGGAGTGGGCGGAGTTGCCACCCGATTTCACCCATTTTCAAACTGTAGGTAGAGGTTCTAAAAACATTTGCTTCCAGTGAATTTTGTTATTATTGCATTAGCGGTTTAGGAGATATGCACATTAAACCTATTAGGGGCGGGACCACGCCCACTTTAAAAAAAAAATTTAACTACAGATGCCCCTCCCTATTGTGATCCTGTATACCAAATAAGAGTCTTGTATCTTGTTGTGGAGCTTAGTTATGGCAATTTATTTGTTTTTGAATAATAGCGTTTTGTGGGCGTGGCAGTGGTCCGATTACGCCCATCTGCAACACCAACCGTCTCACGGTATTAAGAAACATGTCTACCAAGTTTCATAAAGATATCTCAATTTTTACGCAAGTTAGAGCTTGCACGGACGGACAGACGGACAGACAGTCACCCGGATTTCAACTCGTCCCTTCATCCTGATCATTTATACCTATATACATAACCCTATATCTAACTCGATTAGTTTTAGGTGATACAAACAACCGTTAGGTGAACAAAAGTTGGCAAAAATCCTCCGCTGAACCCTCCACGAGGGTGCCGACTGGAAATAGATACCACAGGTTCACGTCGTTAGTAGTGAGGTGTCTAGCTAAGGTCAGGCTTCCTATCTGGGTGTTCGGTACTCTTCGATAGTGCAGCATCCAGATAGGAGGTCTTACCATGGTAGGAGGTAAAGGGCTGGATCAAGGTGTCATGCGACCCGTGCCGAAGATCAACCTGGCTGGGGGCCCTTAAATAGCCCAGTCTCGCACGGAGCTTACGGATACCTGGCGCCCTCCGTAATAAGATAGCCTTACTTGCGTAGCGGGGGCTATGCGCAAGCGGACATACTTTCCCCTACACTCGTGGGTCCAAAATATGAGCCAAAACAATAACATTATAAATAAAAACAAAAAGGAGTCCGGACCTCCTTCAAAAAGACCGGAGGGAGCGGGTTGCTCCCAGAGAAGAGCAGCGTTTGGCACGAGCTCGACAACAGCCAAAGCGAGGACAGGAGCGAAGCTTGGTCCTGGAGCAAAGGCGAATACTAAGGGGGCAGTAGCCAAGGCTGGCGCCACAAAAACAGCAACGCTGGAGGCAGCCCATACCAACCCCTGTAGCCAAGGCTTGGCAGTTAAGCAGGAGAAGGTGGGAGATGCTAAAAGCGAAGCTGCCAGTAGTGGGTCAGCCAGAGAGTGGCCTTCCTTCAGGATTGATGACCCGGCAAAAGCAAAGTATGCAGAGAGGCGACTCGCTGCATACCTGTTGAAGAAGGTGGAGCTGCAACCGCCAAACAATGAGGAGCTCACAAAGGAGCTCCGAGAATCCATTGATTGCGCGAGAGCTGTCCTACCTTACTTCAAACTAGAAGCGCCGGTAGTGGCAACAAAAAGACAAAGGTCCGCTGAAGAGGCTAAGCCGTCAGCTAAGAGACCGAAAACTAAGGGCGTGACGCCCGTAAGATCTTTTGCTGATGTGGCCCGAAACCGCATTGTCATTGGTGTACTGGATGAGGGTGATCCCGAAGGAAAAATCCCCAGAGCCCAATGGAAATGGGTGCAAGCCGCACTGACGAATGTGGCTTTGGAAGTGCTACTTAGCAATGCAGGTCCACCCCCGTCATGTGCGGATGCCGGATGGTATCAAGGGCAAATAAAGATGATAGCGTGTGACGACGAGAGATCGGTCCAGCTATATAAAGCAGCAATAGCTAAGGTGGGAGAGGTCTACCCCGGAGCCAAATTGGTGGCGGTAGACAGGAAAGATATCCCATCCCGACCGAGAGCAAGGGTATGGATCCCGGCTACACCATCGCAGCCGGACCAAATAATGCAGCTCATAAGAGCCTGCAACCCAAATCTGCCAACGGAGGGATGGAGATTCGTCAAGGCCTTTGACGACCCCGCAGCAGAATCTGGAGTGGAGACGAAGCGAGCCACAATGCAGATTCTGCTGCTTCTAACAAAAGAATCCGTAGAACCGCTAGCGAAAAGTGGCGGAGAGATCAACTACGGATTCACAAAAGTAAAGGTCATGACCTACAAATCAGACGCCGATGCAGGAGAAAACTTGGCATCGGAATCGGAGTGCGAAGTCGAGGAAGATCCAGTGGAGTCCTCGAGCGACGCAGAGATCACGGATCAAGGTGAGTGTACTTCGGGGTCTGAACTTGCGGACAGACTCTCTAAACTCTACACTGAGAGTGAGCTTTTAAGCGACTCTCATGATGATGCAGAGAAGACCATAACTAATGCGTCTTCTCCAAATTAATTTACACCACAGCAAACTAGCGTCTCTAGCCCTAGTTAACCGCATGGCAGAAGAACGGCCTGACTTTGTCCTCATTCAGGAGCCATGG